GGATGAGATCTGGAAGTTGGAGTGATGCATTTGGAAGGTGGAGGCAATGGACCAGGAGCCAAGCAATGCAGGTGGTCTCTAAGCGCTGGAGGAGACGAGGAAACGGACTCTTCCCTGGAGCCTGCAGAAGAAATCACCCCTGCTAATATCTTGCCTTTTAGCCCTGTAGGATTCTCTTTGGGCTTCTGACCTCCAGAACCCTAAGGGAATAAATTTGTGTTTTAAGCCACTACGTTTGTGGTAGTTTGTTACAGCAACAAAGAAAACAAACCATCCCAGCCTCCCTTCCCTACTTCCAGATTCACCTCTTTGCTCTCTACCCAGCAGCTGCCTTAGAGAGCTTTATAGAATGCAAATCTGTTCACTTAAGGCTCTTCAAGGCCCCTCACAGTTTAGGAGATGATGTCCAAATTCCTTTACAATTCTTTCATCACCTTCTACCACCTTTCCCTTCTCTTGGTCCTCCAGTCTTCCTTCTTCCCTTTCTCTTTCATTGGTCCTCACTGCAGACCCTGGGCTTTTGCATGTGCTGTCTGTCTGGAAGGGGGTGTTTACTCTTCTCTGCCTGGGAGATGCCTTTCTTTCCACATCTCTTGGACTCTGCAGACTTGGGGACTGCTCCCTTTTCAGTGATCCCAGCACGCTCTCCGTGCATCTTGATGATATGTAGCACATACCACTCTGTGCTGTCATTGTGTTGTTTACATCTTGTCCTGGCAAGGACTGAGCCTAAAGCAGGAATGTGGGAAAAATCCAAGAAATACTTGCCAAAGGCATTGATGATCATGCTGGCATCGCCCCAGCCTGCCTCCAGGTCTCTGGGGAGCCAGGCTGTCTCTCTTTTCCGCCTCCAGCACAGTGCAGAGGGACTTTACAATGGTTCCTCTTACCACACAGACCTATATCTCAGTTGCAGGCTTTCCAGTCAATGAAAATGCTCCAGGAGAGGCTGGGTTGGGAGACAGATGCTATTAGACCATGACCATCGTACATATGGACACAAGTATGGGGACAGTAGGCCCAGCATGGAGCTATTTTTAGAAGAAAAGATAGACAAAATTCTACAAATCACCAGAGGTTTGTCAGAGTTAATATTTGGCCTTTAACCAGTGATTTCAAGGTACTTTGCGGAAAAAAAAAAAACACATGAGGGAGGTGATGCCTTCATTATTGTGTTTCTCACTTCCCAGTCTCATGTTCCCTACTTCCCGACTCCTGCTTCCTGGGATTATTTCCAAAGCAAACTATTTGTCCCCAGGCCCTCAGCTTTTTAGGAAAACCCAAACTAATGCACAGTGTAAAACCACATGGTTACCCATTAGGGAAAGTCAAGACTTTTATGACTTAATTATGGGATGGAGATAAGAAAATTTTGCTGCTCTTTCATTTTGAAGTTTCACTGCCTGTCCTAAGCATTTGTAAGTCAGACAAGGCTCTGCTTCTCTTCCCCCTGACTGGCAGCTACTCCCCCTCCAGGGGCCCTGTCAGACGGACTCCCAAGTTCTAACACCCAGAATCAAGCCAGATCAGATAGAAAACTAATGCAGGACTATCTAATGCAAACATGCCATTAAAAGAAAAAAAAAAAAGACTGTTTTCTATCATTCTTGGACTTGACCTGTGAAGCTTTCAGAAAGACACATGGAAACAATCATAATGAAAGGATTTCATGCATTTTTGGAGCAAAGCTTATTTATTCAAATTATCTTTATATTTGGATCCCATCACATTAGATTTTAGAGAAAGTCCTCGTTTTTTTTTTTCAGAGCTACAGATTTCTTATTTAATAATTTATTATTATTATTTTGTAGAGATAAAGTGACTCAGTTCGAGGGTTCAGATAGAATTTTGTCTGATTCACTGGAGATTTTTCCTATTGAATATGTAAACTGACAGATTTGTTTGAGGAACCCAAATAAGTTCTTGGTAACAGTGATAACTTTTCACATTTTCATGGAAAGGCCAACTTCATGTAAAGTACCAGCTATAGAGGCTATATTCTTTATTCCAATACATCAGAGCCATCTTGACTTTTTTATTTTTATAACTGAGTATTAATAAAAATTCATCACCCTGCTCTTATAAAGTAGATGCATCTGGGCCTCAATGTTTATTTTTTTAAAAGATTTTATTTATTTATTCATGAAAGGCAGAGAGAGAGAGGCAGAGACATAGGCAGAGGGAGAATCAGGCTCCCTGTGGGGAGCTCGATGCAGGACTCGATTCCAGGATCCCGGGATCACAACCTGAGCCAAAGGCAGATGCTCAACTGCTGAGCCACCCAGGGACCCCTGGACAGCAATGTGTATAATAAAGATGATGAAATTAACCTCAGGTTGTTATGTGTCTGACTATGGACTCCAAGGGCAAGGAAGGTCCTGACTTTCTGAAGGATAGAACTTTGACTCTTGACTCAAGTGATGACACTAAGGAGTTATGTGAAATCTCAACCTGACACTCTTTGACCTGGAAGGGGGTAAGAAATCACCCAGCTCTTGGGTTGCCCACAGAAAGAGTTGATTCTCATATTTCTCCATCAGGACTTGATTATAGGCAAAGAGTTTCTCTGAGTGCTCCTATGGAAGTAGGAGGTTCTTTACCCCTCCTCTCCCAAACCCAGTATAACTCTGAAGATTTGAGCCAGAAATACACTCTGTGGGTATGCTATAGACTGAATTGAACTCTCCTCACCCCCAACAAACTTGGGTGTGAAAGTCCTAACCCCCAGTGTAATGGTATTCAGAGATGAGGTCTTTGGGAGATCACTAAATTTAGATGAGGTCATGATGGTGGAGTCTTGAAGATGGGATAAGTGCCCTTATAAGAAGAGATACCAGAGAGCTTACTGTCTTTCTCTCCCTGAGATATGAAGACATGGTGAAAAGCAGTTATCTGTAAGACAAGAAGTCTCACTAGAAACCAACCATGCTTCTACCCTGCTCTTGGACTTCCAGCTTCCAAAACCATGAGAAAATAAATTTTTGTTGTGTAAGCAAGCCATCTAATCTATGGTATTTTGTTGTGGCAGCCTGGGCCAAGTAACACAGAATATAAACTGCAGAAGCACCACTTAGATATGTAGAGAGCTCAAATATTCTTACCTCTCTCTTTGAGACTTTTCATAACACATATAGTTATCCTGACAACCATGGCTCCTGGAATCAAACACACACTGACCGCAGACCAGAAAGAAGGGGTTCTGGCTGCTTCTACACTCTTTATATATGTTTGTCAAATACGAAGTATACTATTAATATACATACCTAAAATGGGTGAATTTTACTGTGTATAAATTGTATTTCACACATAATTAACCTTGAATTAAAAAAATCAATGCTTAGGAAACAAATTTCTATGAGAAGAGCCTAGAATAGCTGGAGTTGTTTAATTTTAAAAAGATAAATTGGGAAGTATTTTAATAATATTGGAAATCCAAATGCCAGTTTCCCCTTCCACTTTAAGGGTCATTCTGCACCATTATGTTTGGTAAAATGGGGGGAAAATGACATCCAGTCATGACTAGTTTATTGGCTTCAGATGGTGTGCATTGGGCTTGGCGTGCCATTCCAGAAGACCTGTATGGGGGGCTGTTGATTCCTTTAAATCTAATCCTTTTTAAGGATTCATTGCCAGGATAACTTTTGCATATATGCTAGCATACTTTTAAGTGTCCTCCAGGTACCTGTTGGAAAATAAGCATGCACATGCGTGCGCACACACACACACACACACACACACACCCCTCCCAAGGACCAATACCAATACAAATTATCAGAAATAATATGTACTAAACACATAAAAAGGAAGTCTTTTCTCTAACTGACTCATAACTTACAAGATTTTATGTGTTTATAGTAGAGTTGTCCTTAATCGTTCCATTACTGACTCCTTAATGGCAAATTGCTTAGCTATATAAATATCCCTCTTGTTTCAATTCTTTATCCCTCTTGTTTCAATTCTTTAACCCAGTATTTCTCAAAATATGGCCCTCAGACTACCTATGTCAGAATTATCTGGAATGATGGTTAAAAATGCAGATACCTGAAAATGAATTTCTAAGGAATCTGCATTTTATTTATTTATTTATGTATTTATTTATTTATTTTTATTTATTTATGATAGTCATACAGAGAGAGAGAGAGAGGCAGAGACACAGGCAGAGGGAGAAGCAGGCTCCATGCACCGGGAGCCCGACGTGGGATTCGATCCCGGGTCTCCAGGATCACACCCTGGGCCAAAGGCAGGCGCCAAACCACTGCGGCACCCAGGGATCCCAGGAATCTGCATTTTAAAAAGTCCCCAGGGAGCATCTGGGTGGCTCAGTTGGTTAAGGGTTCCACTCTTGGTTTCAGCTCAGGTGATGATCTCAGGGTCAGGTGATTGAGTCCTGCGTTGGGCTCCATGGCAGGCATGAAGCCTGCTTAAAGAAAGATTCTCTCTCCCTCCTTCTGCCCCTCCCCCTCTCCTATTAAAGAAAAAAAGCACCCAGGTGATTATTATACCACCAAGACTTGAGAACACCCATTTTAACTGCTATTAGGAAAGGATTAAATTTTTTTTTTCTCTTTCAACTGGATACAAAATAAGGGCAAACTCTCCTTGCCACCATTTTTGTTTAGACTTTGTGGTCCTAGGAATTGGTTGCAAAATTGAATAGTTCTTGTATTCTAAAGATTTTTTTTAAAAAATAAAGATTTTTTTTATGAAGACGGATGCCCATCTTTGTGAAATGGCACAAGGAGGGCAAAGCATGAAGGGAGGCAAAAAAAATAGATGGTTCACAAATAAATACCCAACCAACCAGTGTGTATAGGGCATTAGGCTAAGGCTCTGTCTTGAATGACTTCTGTTAATTCTCTAAGGTTAGTGGTTTCTTCCTTCTATCTATCTGTTCTTTCCCTCCTTTCTTCCATTAAAAAAACTAATATATATATATATATATATATATATATATATATATATATATATATAGAACTGAATGAACGCAGTCCCTGGTTTGTGAACTAATGACCATCATTGGTTCATGTATGGTCTTTAGTTAGTTATTGGATTATTTTAAATAATGCCATAAATATCTGAGAACATAATACCTAAATTGAAAGCTAGGACCTTGACAATAACTTACAATTAACCACATGATACCTTTTATCAAACTATCCTTTGTCATCCCACACCCTCATCCTGTGCTCATCACAACCTGCTTTGCTTTCTATATACTTCTTTTTGGTATTTAAATGCATTATTAAAAATATGTTGTATGTGTGTGTTTATAGGAAGGGTCTCCTGTTTTATGTAATCTTTCAGACATATTTTTCCACCTATGATTGTATTGATAAAATTATCTATATTGTGTGACATGGCAGTTGATCATTTTTAAAAAAAGATGTTACTTATTTGACACAGGGAGAGAGAGAGTACAAGAAGGCAGAGTGGCAGGAAGGAGAGGGAGACACAGACTTCCCACTGAGCATGGAGCCTGATGCGGGGCTTGATCCCAGGACCTTGAGATCATGACCTGAGCTGAAGACAGAGATGCTTAACCAACTGAGCCACCCAGGTGCTCCCCAGTTGATCATTTTTAAATGCTATATTATAGTCCACTGTGTACATATTTTATAACCTATTAACCTACCCAACTGCTGAGGGAACATTTGCATGTTTCTAGGTTTTTGCTGTTATGAACAGCACTACTGACAATATGAAATACTGGAGAGGACATGGGTCTGGAGGATTTCTTATAAGTTGCCATTGAGCGACTTCCCTGACTCAGGCCACCTCTCCGAGTCATGGAACCTCGCCCAGGAGCGCTCCCCATTAAAGCACGCTTGAACCTAAAAAAAAAAAAAAAAAAAAAAAAAAAGTTGCCTTTGAGAAGAGAAATTGAGGTAATGACTTGGGTGGGAATAGTTTAGTATTATCTACTTCAGTTGAACATTCACATACCCTACACACTCGGTAATTCCCTTCTTAAGCACACACTCAACAGAAACTAGGGCAACGTGCAATCGGAGATGTATAGAAAAATATCCAGAATGGTGGGGCAGTGTATTTGGGACAAGTTTAGAACCCTCAGGTTTAGGGAATGGGACTGGAGTAGGGGTGGAAGAGCTCGAGGGAGAGTGCAGCAGGCATCAGAAATCCAGGCCCCCACAGCCACCACTCCTCATCAGTGACTCCACCTGGCTTTGCTTGCCAAGAGCAGCTATGAAAGGGAGAAAGGCTTAGATTGTAATTCCTAGCCCAAGGGTTTGGAAGATGAAGAGAGGTGGATAAACAACTGTCTGAGGTCTATGAGTCCCCACCTACAGTTCTCCTACTGACCTTTCAAAACAACTGTGACACCAGTGCTAGGGACCCCTGGAGCTGAGGTCTGAAGGCACTCACCTGGCAACCCAAGGCAATGGTGAGGGTGAGCCCAACAATCTCCCTTCTTATTTTCTTTTCTCCACCAAGCTGAGCTGTCGGGGCCTCCTTCCCCAACCACCCTGCCCCCACCTTCAGACACCAAGGTCAAGCCACCCTCACCCACAGAAGTTTCCTCTCATGGTTCCTTTGACCTCTGTCTTTGGGGAAGGACTAATAATCCCTCAGCAACCCAAGGCGGCTGTGTGGGTGTTTGCAAACTTGGTTTTAGGAGCTTCATTAGTAAAAGCTGGGGCTTCCAGGCACCCTGCTTATGTATTCTCTCATTTCCTTCTCACAACCACCTAAGAGGTAGCAAGCCCCGGTGTGATTATCTGATCTTACAGATGAAGACACAGATTTGGCAAAACAAAGGAGTCACTGAGGTCACACGGTGATTACCTGGCAAAGCTGGAAGAGAACCCCCGGCTTCCACCTGGTTCTGGAACACTGCTGTGGCTTCTGAGAGCAGAGAGCCTGAGCACCTCCTGGGCTGGTGTTCTCCAGGCTCACCTCACTTATGGAGGCAACCTAATGCCCCTGAGCACACATCAGTGTCTCCTTAGATGTGTGGCTAATTGTAAGGACAAGTTTCTTGCAGTTGCCATTCCAAAGCTGCTCTCTTGTTAGATTTTTTTTAAATTTTTTTAAATTTTTATTTATTTATGATAGTCACACACACACAGAGAGAGAGAGAAAGAGGCAGAGACATAGGCAGAGGGAGAAGCAGGCTCCATGCACCGGGAGCCCAACGTGGGATTCGATCCCGGGTCTCCAGGATCGCGCCCTGGGCCAAAGGCAGGCGCTAAACTGCTGCGCCACCCAGGGATCCCTAGATTTTTTTTTTAAGAATTATTTTTTTGTGGCAGTAGAAGGAAACCATGTTTTTAAATGCTGTTTCCATGCTCACACACCATAGTGAAAGATGATGCCTTTCTGTCTCAAAATAAAAGAAAATGTGTTTGACATCTCATGACAAATTTCTTCTGAAACCCTTTTTAACGGATGCTGCTGATGCCCTGCCCAGATAGACCCTTTTATCAGGCTAGCACACCCAGCCCCCAGCTACTCTTAAGTGTTGGCTGCTTATGGCTCAGGGCTTCCCTTTCTCTGGAGAATTGACCTTTGCCCAATGGAGCTGGCTATCCCAGAGATGTCTGGAAACAGCCCTCACTTTGGCTTGCAGCCAATGACTGCCTGATACTGTAAAGGCCACAGCCCCTTGTCTGAAGGGGGTTAATTGTATGGTGTTATCATGTTCTAGAGGTAGGCTCCTGCTAAGGATAGCTTTTCTATCCTTAAAAGAGCCTTGCTGCTCTTTTCCTGACTTCTCCTCTCCCCTTACTTCCTTAATCCACTCTTCCTGAGAGCTCCTCCAGTAAGTCACTTGTACAAGAATCCCTGTCTCAGGCTCTGCTTTTGGGGAACCCTACCTAAGATACCCTTCAATTAACAGAGGATGTATTAATGTATTCTAGGTGCTACAGAGTAGCATGAAAAACTTGGTATATTTGATGTTCAACATTTCTAATGTCATTTGAGAATTCTTTGATTCATTGTATATTCTTTAAGATTTTTAATTTATTTATTTGAGAGAGACATAGCACAAGCAAAGGGAGAGGAAGAGGAAGAGGGAGAAGCAGGACCCCCCGCTGAGCTAGGAGCCCGATGTGGGGCTCGATTCCAGGACCTGGGATCATGACTTGAGTTGAAGGTAGACACTTAACCATCTGAGCCATCCAGGCATCCCTGACCCATGATTTAAAAGTGTGTTGTTTTGGGGCACCTGGGTGGCTCAGTCAGATAAGTGTCCAACTCTTGATTTCTGGTCAGATTGTGATCTCAGGGTTGTGAGATTGAGCCTCAGGTCCAGCTCCACACTGACCATGGAGTCTGCTTAAGATTGTTTCTCTCCCTCTCTGTCTGCCCCTCCCCACCCCTGCTTATGCTCTCTCTCTCTAAAAATAAATAAATAAATAAATAAATAAATAAATAAATAAATAAATAAATGAAATAAAAGTGTGTTGTTTAATTTCCTAGTGTTTGTAGATTTTCCTGTAATCATTCCTTTATGGATTTTTAGATTAATTTCATTATGGTAAGAATATATATTTTATATTATGTATCAGTATTGGTCCAATAATAAATGGGGAACCACTAGGATATATAGCTATATAGTATATAGTATAGTGTGTGTGTGTATATATATATATATATATATATATATACACACACACTTAAATATATATCCTAGTAAGTCTGCTTTTCATATACGTACACATATGTTTATACTTATATTACATTTATATTTATAAGGATTTGTTACAGGGATTTGACCTTATGTAATTGTGTAACAATCTCTGTAAGGCAGGACAGTCCTAGCATCTATTTGAAAAGGCAAGGCTGATGTAATATGGCAAGAAGAAGATCTGGAATCCAAAGCATAGAAGCCCATGAGGACAGGCTGAAACTCATGTCGATTTTTGTTGCCTCTGACCCTAGTGGTGTGAGTGTCATGCGTTAGCTGGGTCCTTTATCATGGAACTCAACACATACCTCAAGTCCAGGAATTGCAGGAACTAAGGGGACCCAGGGGAAGTGGGTAAGTTGCAGCCCAGTCACTGTCTCACATCAAACAGGTGAGTCAGCACATCGGTGACAATGGGTGTTAGCTACAAAATGACTTCTGCTTCACTGCCTCATTCAAAGTCTCAAACCCGAATCTGTCTTATGGCCTACCCTAACCAAAAACACACAGGAAAAGGAATTCTTGGAAATACAGTTCATTCTAGGCATGCTGACACATTACAAACCCAGCACGCCCTTCCTTCCTTGACTTGGAACCTATGTGCATCTCCTTAAACTGTATTTAAACTCCAAATAAAGACAATAGCAACTTCATGTTTCCACCGACCATGACACACCTATACCACATGCAACCCCAAACACACATCCCTTTCCCCCAGAAAAGGATACAAAATCCACTCCAACACACACTTTAAAAAATCTTTGGGTGAGGGGTGCCTGGGTAGCACTGGGCATGGAGCTTGCTAAAGATTCTCTCTCTCCTTCTCCCTCTGCACCTCATCACCTAAAAAAAAATTTTTGGCGTGATGTTTATTTTTCTCTTGCATTCCAGAAATACTCTTCCTTACCCCTATTGCCTCCTAGCAACACTATTTCTGCTTATGATCAGTGTCAATCACCCCAATGAATTAAAACAATCATCCTCTTTACCTGTTGATTCAGTGGCATGACAAATCCAAAGTGGCCAGATGGCAGTCTCAGCTTTTAGAAGGGATCATTGTTGTGTCCTTTAGTGGAAGGATTATTTCCTTTGGAACCAAGACTTCCAGAGCAGCAAAGGCTAAACTTGTGGGGATGGGAAGTAAAAATTGTTCTAGTGGATCCCTGTGGTCAATAGAGGATTCCCTTTCATTTTCACCCTGTGATTCCTAGTACCGTGAATCCTGGCTGTAGGAGAAAGAACACCATATATTGGTCATTAATTTAGACTATTTACTCCACTCTTAAGGGCATTTCTCCAGCCTTGCAAGATGCTGGCACCATAATCTGGTCATAAAAAGGCCATTCCACCATTCTTATAAGCTAATTATGTCAGGATGGTGGAAAACATGGAAGACCAGTGAACTCTATGATTATGGACCCTTTTCTACCTTTCATTATTCTGTGAAATGAATTCTTGTGTCAGAAGTAATGTAGCGTCTAGTACCATGACAGTGGACTTATTCTGGAAATCTATGAATGATGGTTTTGGTAGGAGTATTGCAGGGAGGAAAGGAAAGTCCATAGAGTTAACTATCTCCTCCAGTAAAAATAAAGCCACTACCCCTCTCATGGTTGAAGCAATATAATTTAATCAACCTGCCACTAGTTATTTGGCTGGTTCTCTGGGTAATGGTGCTATACTGGAGGTTCAGCATTGGCTTCTGCTGTTGACAGATTGGGCAATCGGGAATGGCTGTAGCCAAATTGACTCTGGTAAGCAGAAGTCCATGTTGCTGAGTCTGGCATAACCCCTAAGCCTGCTGTGATGGCCTGGTTTTTCATTACCCCATTGGGCAATGACAGGAGTGACTGGGTGACTGAATCAGACCACCACAAGGAAATTGGTGCTTTTATAAAACAATCTGTATTATTGAAACCCTTTAGGAAAGAGAAATTAAAGAAGCAGTTCTGGAAGATAAAAGGAAAAGAAACAAACTTAGGATCCAGATCGACACCATAGGTTAGTAATTTCAGGAATATCACACAGCAATATTATTAGTGAGGAATTAAAGCAGATTAATGAATATTTGAAAGGAATGGGGGATTACTTTTCTCTTTCCATCTTCTTTATTTCTTCTTTTACAATTCTTACACCAAGAAGACCAGAAACTGTGTGTGTGAGGCATGAGGGGACATGGTTTCACTCAGTCCTCAGTGTGTTCTGAAGGAACAAATGTTAGGGGACCATGGCTCCTTGCAAATCATTTTTGCTCTCGAAATCTGCATTTTCTGCTCCCATAGTTCTGTTCCCCCTTCAAATCCTGTATTATTACTGAAATTTTCTTCTCTTAGGGGGTGGAAAATGCATCCCGGATTTCTACTTTCCTTGTTTATTTCAGTTCACAGATGATATTGCTATTGGTATAGAAAGTAGCAAGGATGCATAAACCAGCATCTGGCGGCCAATATTATATTACCTACGGGTCAATATTGGCTAGTAAAATTATTGTGTATTTGTTTATGTATCATTTGAGTTTCTCTAATTAGTATTTTTGTGTCTGTCACTGACTGATAAACTGTATTTTCCTTTTGCTTCTAGTATTTCAAAACCATTTATCAAAATAACTAGTTTTATATTTCATCAGCAGATTCAACCATCTATGTCAAAATTGTCAATTCAATGCCTCTGATCTCAACATCTTAAAATGATGTGGAGGGAAAAGCACCAGCCCAGGAGTCAGAATGATCTTGATGCCAGTCCTAACTTTGCCTCTAAAGACTGTACTTCATTAAGTCACTTAACATCTATGGCCTTCAGTTTATCAAACAAAGAAACTGAACCAAGGACCCACTCTAAAGCAAATAATAAAAGGATGTTGTACAATAAAAAAGGAAAATAATTGCAGAGGGAAGGAAAAAATGAAGAAAAACAAAAAGTATATATATAAAAGCATGTACACACACACACGCCTAAAATTATAGACTTAAAACAGTAACATTTAGAGAGGCAAATGAAATACAAATATTACAAAGTCTCTGCATTAAGCAAGAAGAGGATAAAAATTCTACTTAATTTTGCATTGTTGAATTTTAATAAGTACAGGTTTGGTTTGCCAGAATTGAGTTTAGGATTTTTGTACATACATACATTTAGGATATGTATCTGTCTCAAATTATATATATACCTATATATAGAATATATATAAATATAAAATACAATACAAAATATGTAATACATATGTGTATGTGTGTATATATATACATATATATACATATACACACATATATACATACATACATATACATATATACATACATATATACATACACATATACATATATACATATATACATATATATATATAAAATTCCCCATATAGTCTATATATAGACTATAAAACAATGTATCATGATGAAGTTAATTTCAGGTTAGTTTTCCATTTGAAAATAAATCTAAGTATATTACTTATGTAATTTTTCTGCCAAAATATTTAGCCTGAATTTAATCATGAGAAAATTATACAAATTCAAATTGAAAGACACTCTTCAAAATGTCCAACTGGCTTGTATTCATCAAAAATGTTAGTGTGATGAGAGAAAAAATAGATAGGAAAATATTCTAGATTTAAAAAAAACTAAACAGGGATCCCTGGGTGGCGCAGCGGTTTAGCGCCTGCCTTTGGCCCAGGGTGCGATCCTGGAGACCCGGGATCGAGTCCCACGTCGGGCTCCCGGTGCATGGAGCCTGCTTCTCCCTCTGCCTGTGTCTCTGCCTCTCTCTCTCTCTCACTGTGTGCCTATCATAAATAAAAAACAAAAAAACAAAAAACTAAACAGAAGTGACCACTAAATACTTTGCCAGATCCTTCCTAGGATTCTGAATTTTTTAAAAAGGCTATAAAAGACATTATTGATGCAATTTAGGAAATTTGGATATGCGTTGCGTATTAGATAATATTATAAACTAATCCTAAATATCTCTAATGTGATAATTGATGTGTGGGAGAATGCCTTTGTTTGGGGGAAAACAAGGTGACATATTTAGGGTAAATGCCTTGATATCAGCCACAAATCTCAAATGGCTCAAATGGCTTAACCAAAGATAAAAAGTTTGTGTAATAGTATATAGATAGGAAACTAAGTGGGCCAAAATATTACAATCAGTGAATACAGGTGAAAGATACAAGGAATTTTCATTACTATGTGAAACTTTCTTAAAGACTTAAAATTTTTCAAAGTAAAAACTTGGGGGGAATAAAGAAAAAAATGTAATATACAATAAAATGATACAACAAAATATAAAGTGATTATTGATGTCAAAGAAAGCAATAACGAAACCCAAGGGGTAATGTAAAGTGGCGTTAAGAGAATACATAATTAAGGGAATTCTATACAGAGAAGACTGGAGCATTGATGGGAAACACAGAAGCATCACAAAGGAATAAATAAAACTGTCATTATTCTCAGATGATATGATTATATATGTACAAATCCAAAAGAATTTACAAAGTTTTGGAATTTGCAAGTGCGTTTAGCGAGTTTGCTGAAATCAAAGTCAATATGCAAAAATCATTGTATTTCCAACTACCTACCTACCTAAATAAATAAATAAATAAATTAAAAAAAAATCTAAAAGGATGTAGGGGCGGCTGTGTCTATCATCTCTTAATTAGCTGACTTGGCTTCTACTGAAATTAAATGACAACTGGAAAATTACTACACACTATCACAAGCTCAACCAAGCAGTAAGTAGCCCCAATTGCAGCTGCAGTGCTAGGCATGGTGGTGTTGCTAGAGCAGATTCATAAGGCCTCATGTACATGATATGTGGTCATTAATTTTAAGAATATGCTTATTTTAAACCAATCAGAAAATAAAAATGAGAACCAGTTTGCATTCTTATGGAACAGACAATATTCTTTACACTTTTGCCCCAGAACTAGAATAATTCTCCTGCCCCCTGTCATAACTTAATCTCAAGAGATCTGCACTATCTAGGTATCCTGAAGACAATCGGTGATAAGTTACAGATGACATCATTCTGATCTGGTAGGAAGAGAGGTACTATACTGGAGTACACTGTATGGTATACTGGAGGTATACTAGCATGGAGGTATACTAATATACTAGCATTAGAAACCTCAGTAGGATACGTTTGCTCAGGAATATGGGAGATAAACCTTACTAAGAATCAGGATCTATCATTTCAGTAAAGAGGATGATGGCCATACTCAATGATGGCCTTGAAAGACAGTGACAAGGGAAAATCTTTCAATGGTAGAACTTTGAGCGGTACACGTGATCACCACTCAAAGTGAGCACATATACAGACTCATGAGCAGTGGTGAATGGTCTGGTTAGCCAGTCAGGAGCCTGAAAGAAAGTGTTAGAGTCCATGACAAAGGAGGTATCGGGTAAAGGAATAGAAATGTATACATGGAGTAAATAACACATGCTAAAATTTGTTTGTGTCACATGTTAATGTACATCAAAAAGCACCCAGCATGGAAGAGGCACTGAGCAACCAGGTGAACAAAATGACTTGGCAATTGACATTAGTCAACCTTTGACATTAGCCACTTCACAATGGGCACATGGACAGAGTGGTCATAATGGCAGAGATGTTGGCCCACAGCATAGACTCCCACTTACCAAGAAAGATCTAGCTATTGCCCCTTCTCCATCCCCAATCTGCCTGCAACAGAGACCAACAGTGAGTCTCTGACATGACACTATCCCTTGAGATCAACTGGCCACTTGGTGACAAGTTAAATGCATGGGGTTCCTTCTGTCCTGGGAGAGGAGAGCCAGTGGTTTATTTGCACAATAGACATCTATTTAGGGTATGGGTTTGCCTTGGAGTTTCCTACTTACAGAGCCTGAACCAGAAGCACAATTTAGGGGCTTAAGGAATGCCTGATCCATAAGCATGGAATCCCCACAAAACATCACCCAAATGAGGAACCCACTTTACAGTGAAAATGTGCAGGGTAGAAATCGACCAGTTGTACTACACTCAACATTACTCTGAAGCTGCCACTTTGATAGGGTATTGGAATACCCTCCTGAATAAAGGTGTAGCCAAGGTGCTGGCTCAGAGGTAATACTCTGCAAGGATGGGGTGCTATCCTTCAGATGGTAGTATCTGGACCCAGTCAGAGACCCCCATAAGGCGCTGTGTCCCCAGGAGAATCCTGGATTAAAGAGGTGAAAGCGTGAATGGCCCCACTTACCATCAATGACTCAGTGGAGAATTCTGTTTTTCCTATTCCTATAGCTTTGGGATCTGTAGGGTTGGAGGCTCTGGTCCCCAAAGAAGGTGTCTTGCTAACCTATAAGCTACCTATGAGCACCTTGGACTCCTTGCAGCTAGGCAGTTGGAGTCACCATATGGGCAGGGTTAATTGACTTTGATCTCCAGAAGGAGGTAGGGCTTCTGTTCCACAGTGCGGGAGGCAGGATACCTGTGAAACTCTTAGGTCTCTTTGGTACTCCTTGCCTAATTGTAACTGTGAATGGACAGTCCCTCAGCCCTGGCTTGGAGAAGACATGGTTTCCAGAGGCTCACATGCCTTAGGAATGAGGGCCTGGGACACACGACTATAGGACATCCAGAAGTGATGGCTGAGGATGAGTGGAATTTCAGTAGTGGAGAAGGAAAATAATGAGTACCAGTAGTGGCCCTAAAACTATTTGTAGTTACAGGAGTTGTAGTTTGCTCCACTAAGCTCACTCTTCTGAGTCTCCCCTGAGGAAGAGAGATGCACAGGAACCATTGAAGGCCTACTTCCCAAACGTATGGGGAAGTGGATCTATGTGGCACAGGGGGCAGACCATGGCAGCCATGGGGGTGTGCTGCTCAGCTCTCCCTTCAACAGGGAGCCTGTGGTGAGAGTGCAGTCAGCTGACGGCCTCCAGCTCCAGCATCTTCAAGATCCACAGCATCATTCAAGCCGGATATGTGCTTCCTGGAGCTCCTGGTCAGTGAGGGAAGCCTGTAGAGCTATCTAGGGCCCTGTCATCTCTGCCCGCGGTTCTTTTTTTTTTTTTTTTAAACTTTTTTTTTTTATGATAGTCACACAGAGAGAGAGAGAGAGAGAAAGAGGCAGAGACATAGGCAGAGGGAGAAGCAGGCTCCATGCACCGGGAGCCCGACGTGGGACTCGATCCCGGGCCTCCAGGATCGCGCCCTGGGCCAAAGGCAGGCGCCAAACCGCTGCGCCACCCAGGGATCCCCTCTGCCCGCGGTTCTTTATGTGCAATCTGAGAGCCTGTGTCCCCAGTGTGCTGGCAGAGACTTTTCTCAGAGCTTGATCTCTGGCTGAGGCTCTTCCTACTCAAATCTCCACTCTGGTTCTTCTCTTTTCATACATGTCAGGCCCAAAAGCTTTTCCTGACGACTCCTGCTTCTCTGCTCCTTTATCTTTCACAGGCATTACCCCTAAACTATTACTTGTATGTCCAACTATCTTGGTTTTGGATCTGTCTTGGGACTTGATCTAGAGACCCAGGGGACCCGAATGGACACAACCTCAGTTGTGATGTCATAGAAATGAGGCAGTTACCAGGAGCCTCACACAGAGGGAGTCTCTGTCGCATTCAGGAAGGTGTCACTTACTTCTAGATCTCTCCTCATATCAAGGAAACCTAACTTAAAGGCAATGAAGAAGAGTACAGTATATCAAAGAATAAAGTCTTAATTTTCTATTATTTTATACTTGGAAAACTTGTAACACAGGGTTATTTTCTCCTTCCTCTGTTGAATACCCACTCCAAAATGAAGAGGACAATTACTGTCTGCACATGCCCACAGGTGGTGCTCACAGGGGTGTTGATCTGTGTTGTGAAAGATCCAATTATTTGTTCCATAGAAGCCAGCCACAGAGACCTCTAAACCCCTAGTTTTTGCCAGCTCCTGGGGACCAATCTCAGTGTTATCTACCCAGATAACACTATGGATAGAGTCGGTTATATTTTTTGGAGGAAAAAGTATTTAATAATGAGACCTTGCTTTTTAAAATAGCATTTTAATTAATGACAAACTCCGAAAGGAGGATTTTACAATCATTTTCCTCTCAACATCCCTCTCAGCCGCCATGAAACAGACAGCAAAATTATTCTCTCTCCAGTAGGAACAAAAACCAAAATGCAAAGTTTAACAAGTCTTAGGATGGCAACACAGAGAGAATGCACAGTCAATATGAAAACAAATTTCTTGCAGTTCATTGGCTTCCAAGTGAATGTCTCGTGGTCCCAGCATGTTACAGAGAGACTCTTGAGGTTCCAGATTTCCTCATTTCCCTTGGCCAATGTCTTATTAAAAATGTGTGTGTGTGCTCCCACTCTCATGTGGGGGTGTGTTGGGTACTGATAAATCTGATGAGAAAGGAAGATGACCGGTTAACTTCTTACCTGACAGCTAAGTGACTTGCCAACGTGACATAATCTGACGTTGACAGAGCCGAGGTCTCCTGACTGAACACAGCGCTTTGGCTACTGCTGCTGTGCCAGCTATGTCTGCGTGAGTGTTTCTGGGTTTACTCCTCATCCTCCTTCCTGCTGGCAGGACCCAACCATGACTCCACAGGATCATGACTAACCTCGGTCCTTAGCCAGAGGTCCGATTTCTCCGCTAACTTCCTAACATTTGCTGTATGTGATTTTTTTCCAAATAGCTTTGATTTTACTACCCCTAATATTCTCTGCAAAAGAAGGGTACACTTTCCTAGTAAACATTTTTTGGTTTACCTCATCTGCTATTATAGCCCAAAATATACACATAAATTACGTCAATAATGATTCATTCATCTTTTAAGGCACTAAGTATCCAAAGTTAAGGGACCTATTGTACTTTGCTCTCTCATTTCAAACATTAATACATGAGAAGTGAAACTGCCAACCCAAATTTTCAGTCTGAAGCATAAATTTAGTAGAATAAATAAAGTAATTTCAGAAACCTCAAGTAAGGAATTAACAGGCAAGAGGCTGAACTAATCATCTTGACATGGGTTGATTACCACTTGGCTTATTCTTTCTACTCTCTTATCTTTTTATTTACACATCTAAATGGAATGCAAATTTTACTATTGGAGGGTAGGATCCAGCTACTAACAGAAGACACACTTCCATTGATTCTCTATAACCCTGGACACTTATCCTGCTTTAAAATGGTAATCTCTCATGTCTTGAGCCTCTTACTGAGCAGGGAATGTTTATCTGTGCACAGTCCATTTCTCTTTTGGCCAGGATTTTCTCTGGGGTCCGAGGCGCCCTCACCAAGCAATTCCGAGTGTGCTTCGTTAGGCATCTGTAAGACAGGCACACAGATTCCAGCAGGCCCGGCACTTCTGACCTGCCCAGCCTCTGCACAGCTGACTCAGCAGGCAGCGGGCAAACATAGCACCACACAGCACTGCAGCGCTGCTTGTTCCTCCCCCTTACCCTGCTGAGTCTCTTCCACAGACAACTGAAATGTCATGTCAACATAAAATGTGGGACTCCGAGCCAAAATTTCAGGAACATGTGTGCTAACTCCAATGTGCGATTTCCCATGGTGAACTCCCTTTTTTGTAAGCTTCTTTTCAATGCTTGCTTAGTTCTCAGCTACGATTCTGTCCTGGGCTTGATAAGCGACTCTCATGCTCAGATAAGAATTGATTTCTACAATTGGTGTGTGTTCCACCAAGAGACAGAAGCAATCCTGTTAGCAAATCATTTGCTCTCATTCAAAGGGTCTAATGTTTTTCCACCAGAAAAAGGACTTTGCTGACTGCACTGTACGTGCAGGCCGACTCAAGGCACTGAGTGTTCCCTTATGCATCGAAGTCATAAACAAATAGCAAATTATGCAACAGAGCCTCTCAAGTTTTCGCCTTTCTGTTTTCTGAGCCGGGGAGCTCTTTCTCACACCCTGGGCAGCTCGGGGAGAGAATGGAAAGGCCCTCTGCTGGAAGCACATCAAATGCAGAAACTAGGCCACTTGGTGCCAGAGGGTTCCCAGGCCCCGGCTGCCAGTCGAGGTTTATACTTTAGTTCACTTCAGGACCAAACCCCGGCATTTTGGAGCCTCACTGCCAATGCTTCTGCTGATTTTAAAGAGTGATGTGTAGGTGTCAGGTGGCCCTCAGACAAACAGGAAGGAGCTTAGGATATTTGTCAACATTTCTTTCTATATTTTGCTGGTTCCCTTTGCAGGCATGAGGGATTTTTTTGGTTATGGGTATAATCCTGTAAGAACGGCTCTTTGACTTTATTTCTTTCCTTTTTTTTTTTTTTTAAAGATTTTATTTATTTGAGAGAGAGACAGAGATAGTGACAGAGAGCACAAGTGGGGAGGAGAGGGAGAAGCAGACTCCCCATCGAGCAGGGAGCCTGATGTGGGGCTCCGACCCAGGGCCCCAGGATCATGACCTGAGCTGAAGGCACATGCTTAACCGACTGAGCCACCCAGGCACCCCTTCTTTATTTCTTTCAAGTGGTATGACACTTGTTTTGGAATGTAATCGTGCACTCAAAATTGCAACAGCAAGCCAACCCTAGCAAAGGTGGATTCTATTCTAAAGGTTATTGTACAATTTTTTAAAACTTTGCATTACTTTTAATTTTCCAAAGTTTTAAAATTTTCCCCTAAAAATAGAGTAGCAGACTCTTTCTTACCTTTGCTCTGCATGGAGTATTCTCAGAGATCACACTCTCACTTTTGGCTCCGATGGCTTCTTCTAAAACTACATCAAAGAAGATACAATGGAGAAGACAGGATAACATAAAAATCTTAAAAAAAAAAAAACCAAAACTTTTTGCTGTCTATAAAAATACTTTTTTAAAAAATAAAAATACCTTTAATGAAGAACTGAGAAGTAAATGTACTGTGTTTGAAACATGTCACTATTAGAATTGCTGCTTTTAAACTTTCATTGTAGCATTTCATCATTATCATTTACAAGCGACACTAAACCTGTGTTAGGTATGCCCCATTCACTTTATTCAAAGTAAGTTCTTCACCTCACTGTTATTAATGCTCAATCTCTGAGATGACTCTGAAGCAAGGGTAAAGACTTGCCCCATCCTATACTCTTCTTTCCACCTGGCCCTTCACGCAGGTGTGTGAAGAATGCTTGCCAAGTGTGGGTGTGAGAATACTCTTGGTTCAAAGACAGTGACCATATTAAAGATAACGGGCTGGGTCTCAAGTTTTCCAACGCTGACAATCTATTTTGTATGATATATCAATTCCTGGCTTATTGGCCTTACCCTAACCCCAAAAGTCTGAGAAGGGAGCAAAGAAGTTGAATCTTGAAAATATAACTAAAGCAAAATAAAAAATGTTCTAACATTTGACAGTACGTTACGTTTTCCAACATGGTTTTACATTGCTAGTTCACTTTTTAAGCTCAATTTATGTTCATAACAGAAAAACAAATGAACTTAAGTATATAATACAGGTAGTAAGCAAAAGTTAAGTTCCTATGACAAGGCTAATTCTGAATGGCAAACAGAAAGCCTCAAGAGTTAATGTAGTAAGTGAAATACACAAGTCAAACAATTCAGCATATAGCAAATGATTGTTAACCTGTAACCTATAATTTTTATTATTAATGTTTCTCACATTTCCAAGGCAAAATGCTAACACACTGTACGCTGCAGCATCTGTGGTGCTCAGTGTAAGGCAGACCTGCAGCTTTTTTAAAAAGTGAAAGTAGAGAAACATAAAGTTGTCTTCAGGTCCTTAAAAACCCAGAGCTGGAGCTGTGGGAGCCCAGGCAGAAAATTTAGATTTAATGAAGAGTCTACATAGTTATTACCTTTTCAGCTACCTTTTTCTAGTTCTACATACAAAGTTGCACGTTCATTTCCAATCTCTTTCACTTCTGTTGTGAAAACCCCACGCACAGTTCTGTATGACCCAGTGTGGGACAAGGTGGCATCTTAAATGTCAGTGAACAGACCTGTTAGGATCTCATCGAGTTGGTCCACCATAAATTTCGCATCTTCTTCCGTGAAGCACATAGGTGGTTTTATTTTAAGCACATTTCTATGAGGTCCGTCGGCACTGAGAAGGACTCGCTTTTCTTTCATCCTAATTAGCGCAGGAAATATGCGTGAGTGCATACAACTAGTAACAGGTTATTTAAGAATGATGTGAACACAGAGCAGCTCAGTATTCTCATGCAAGCAGCCCACATTTATCAACTGCATGCGTCTCAAACTTCTCTTATTTGGAGATGTGGGGGGAAGTAAAAGAAGATTTCAAGTTGGGGGGGGCGGGGGGGAGAGGGGACAGGTTCCAAGGCGGGAGACCAGTCAGGTGTCGGGGTGCTCTTACTTGTAGATGACATGTTGAGCTTCATCTGTGGCGGGGGTCCTTTCCTGCTGGTCCTTCACCAAGTCAATTCCGATAAACAGGCCGATGCCCCTGAGGAAGGTAAAGAAAGAAAACTTGACAGATGCTCTATCAGATACTGCATTGTCATAAAATATTACCACTGTCCCCAAACTTCAGTTTAATTTGAAGCTGGATATAATTCCCTGTAGGGGTAACCTGTTATTGATTCTAACTAATCCAAGATATCAATCCAGCGCCACAGGTCTTTCCAGTTTTTGAAATCAACTTGGTTTTGTCGCCCAGTTTTTTTTCTTTACTTAATTATAAAAGAAAAAGTCTTAAGAAACAACCTTCTTATGCTTGTTTCTCAGGGCAGTAATGATGATAAATGTTCAATGTTTATACATATCTATGAAAAGTTTTCCAGGATGTAATTTTAATAATTTTTAATAAATCTTTTAGAGTTACTTTAAGTTACTTCTTCTCATCTCTTAGGGGCTAAAGTTATACTAGCTTTATTTATTTTTTAAAGTATAAAAGTTGGGAACGATGTATACCCAAAAGTTAACAGTGGTTAATTTTTATATCAGGGTTCTAAATTAAGAATGAGGTTTTTAAAAATGTTTTTTAGTGTTTTCTAGATTTAGTTTTATGTAATTTATTTTAAATTTATAAGATAAAGTTTAAGCTATTTTCATTTGGAAAAATGAATAGCCACACGACAATTTCATAATAAACGTACCTGATGTCTCCTATCAAAGTGTGTTTAGCCTTCTGTTTATTGAGTAACTCAGTAAGATAATCCCCCACTCTAGTGGCATTTCCTTGAAGGTCTTCATTTTCAATTACATTCAGGACAGCCAAACCAATAGCAGAAGATACTGGATTTCCTCCATACTGCAGAAAAAAGATTTAAAAGAATCCACAATGGTTGAATTACTGGCATGGCTTCATCTACGAGAAATTGGCTCATACATAAGCAGATAGAGATATAATTTCAGTGAATTTTTCTCTTGCGATGTAAACTTTTTAGATTTGGAATATAGTGTGATTCTATTTGTTTACGACTGAGTGAAAATTCATTCCAAATTTTATTCTCCATGCTGCATAATTGGTATGAAGGACTATCAGGGAATTTATTAGTTCATCTAAACAAAAACCAGACATTGTACTAGGAACTAAGAATTTCAGAGTGTGGTTCACTGAGGGGGATAAGGGTTCTGCCTCTGAACACTTGTGTAAAAACAGCTAAGCAATGGCATTTTCTCTCAATAATTTATCTCCTTAGATTTGAATCTTACTTTTCATTGTCACAAGTCCTATTACACATATGGCACAAACCATAATAATTTTTCCAAGCTTAAAGTTCATGACTTTTGGGGGGTAAAACCAAGGAAATAAAATTTCCCAAAGATAGAAACTTTAGTATCTCCTGTGACAGCCATATAACATTTATAGTACTGTATCATCTAAACACTTTAGAAATGTTTGGGGAATTTAAATGTGATACAAAATAAAGAAGATCATACCACCTGTGAATGAAACATCATAATCTCTAGAGTTTAGCAAGGCAACCATTTATCACTGGAACAATTAATCATTTTAGAAAGGGGAAAGATACACAAGGAAAAATACAAGAATTATGCCAGAGAATGAAATATAGTTAGATAAAAGTTTGGCTAGGGTCCTGGGGTAGTTAGCTGGCAATACTAAACTTTATTTTTTACTACATTGGCAAGAAGTATAAGAACACACAATATTTTCCCCTCTTAGCATAAACCGGGAGGCCAAAATTTACCGTATTGAAGTATTCCATCCCAGAACTGCTGAAGGCTTCTGCGATTTCTTTGGTTGTTACCACGCATGCCATTGGGTGGCCATTGCCCATTGGTTTCCCCATTGTGACGATGTCCGGAACAAAGTCTTCGCCCTGCATTTGGAAGCTCCAGAAATGTTTCCCAACTCGGCCAAAGCCCACCTGAACTTCATCAGCAATAAACACACCTCCTGCTCTGTGTACATATCTGCAAAGCAAAAGGGAAATCTAATGTTTTCAGGTCATCGAGAATCCCCAAACCCACCCACAAAGATACCGATTATGAAGGGCCTAAGAAAATGTTAACTTGAGGTCTGGAATCGTTGTCAAAAACATTTCCGTGCTCAAATCCCCAGTGACATCTCCATGATGTCACTGACTTTGAAATATAATCACATAATTTCCAGAGTAGACACATTCTTATTATTTAGGTTTGTGCTGCTTCAAGTAAGCTCTACTGTGGTATTTTAAGTGGGAAGAGAAAGAAGTGAACAAGAAGTAGTGTTTAGCAGGGTTAATCTTCAAAGTTTTACTAATTGGTAAGGCATGGGCACCAGCCAAGGAGGATGCCAGGCTGGGGACTGGAGCCCAGCCCCGGAGGCTCCCCCTGCTGGACCACATGTAAACCCTTTATCCCTTTATTTGCTGGATCTTGGGAAGGTAGAGGGGTTCTGGGGAGTCCTGGTGTGGCAGGCATGCCGAAGTGGCTATTGACCAGCTAGTCTGGAAGTATTTCAATATTTTAACCAATATGGCCTCTCAGAACTGTCACAGAGCCTTCAGTTTGACAAAGAATGCCCAGGTCAAGTACATACTCTGCCACTTTCTGGAAGTAGCCTGCTGGAGGAATTATTTGTCCGCCACAACTCTGCATGGATTCAGCAATAAAGGCAGCAATCTATACAAGAGAAGACGGCGTCAAAGTCCATTAGGTCCCCCTTGAACCCCCTAAAAAAGAGGACTTCTTGACAGAGCAGGTTATTTTCAAAATGGTTGGGAATGGACCTATGTCAAGTAGCAAATAGGCCACTCGATGACAAAAAGAAAAGATGTCCGTGCTGGAGAAGCAACTGATCTGAAGCACCTGTTTCTGAAATTCTAGAGTACCAGTGGAACTACCATGAAAAATGGAGGAAGGGCAACCTCCAGTTCTCCATTATTAAATTAAATGCAGGGGATCCCTGGGTGGCTCAGCGGTTTAGCGCCTGCCTTTGGCCCAGGGCGCGATCCTGGAGTCCCGGGATGGAGTCCCACATCGGGCTCCTGGCATGGAGCCTGCTTCTCCCTCCTCCTGTGTCTCTGCCTCTCTCTCTCTCTCTCTCTCTCTCTCTCTGTCTATCATGAATGAATAAATAAATAAATAAATCTTTTTAAAAAATTAAATGCAGTGTTTTCCTTAGGATCAATTGAACAAGAATGATGTTTTGAGCAGTCTTTGATATGAATTTCTAAAAAAATTACCCAGGTTCTAAACCCATTATCGTGGTGCCTGTTTCCTCAGCTTGGTGAAGGAGGACTGCCTGAGCCTGGAATTTGCTCTCAGGAAAGTCCAGGGTGACTTCTGGCCACACACTTTAGTTACTATGCTATATTTCTAGTTCTTACCCTGAACCGGGCTTAACTCAATGGAATCAGGCAATTCACAAGAGGAATTACAAATGAAATGCTCTAGAGAGGAAGAAAGGAGGAGTAGAAAACAGGTAACATTGAATCAAGAAGAGAAAGCATAGGCAGAGGATGAGATATGGAGTCAACAGAACCAAGGCTCTAGTCCAGACTACATCCAGTAACTATATTACCTTGGCTTAAGTTCTTCACTTTTAAATATTTCATTTATTAGCTATAAAACAAAGCCATTGGACTTAAGAGTTTGCTGCTCTAAAATCCCCTGACTTTGCAAGCACATCTAATATTCTGAAGCCTCCATCTTCTATTTGCTCATTGCTTTCAGCATTGTTAACAGAACAGCATCAAGTCAGTAACTACTGAATGTTAATGTAATTGAAAAAGTTATCCAAACCTTCTAGCAGCAAAAATACCATGTGATCCGGGTAATGTGAATTTTTTTTTTCTAGAAGCACTCTTTACCGTTGTGTAAGAAGATACAGACTACCCTTGAAAAAGAAAAGCATATAAAGCTCCCCATAACAGGTAGCACTTGGGACTAGTTGCACAGCTACAAACAATGAATGGGATGGGAAGAAAACCGTTAAATACAAATGACTCTCTAGTCACTAAGATAAATATATTTGAATTGGAAAAAGCAAAGTCTTCATTTTTATCTCAATTAAGATTTTTTTATTGCCATGTTGATGCCATAAGCCAGTTTAAAGGCAAAGCATATATCAAATCACTTTAAAACTCCACATAAATAACCCCCAAATGGGCTGAGTATTTATGTTAAGCAGAAGATAGTAGGGTGAAGACTGAGAAAATGGAAACTCCTTTTCTTACCAGACGATTCTGGTTCTGTCTTCGAAGCTCAGGCTCAGATTGGAGAAACATTTGTTTTGCCTTTGTTAACCCAGGGTCTGCAGCTTCAGGAAAGTTGTACCAGTTCAAGGGAAGCACCAAGGCTTCCTGGGCCTAGGAACCCTCATTGGTTCAGAGGCCCCAAGGCCACTATGCCTCTTCCCCTTCTTCCTATTTCAGCCCCCCATGCTACTTTCATTTGGAAGAGTCTGTCCGTGGCCTATCACCTTTCCTAATCCTCTCTCCCTCTAGCCCTTTGGACAAGAGTCGGCATCCCACTGGGAAAGTGAGAATTAGGCCACCAGTCCTGGAACAGGCATAGTGATTGCATTTCCAGAATAAATAAAAATAGATAATCTTAGAGGCATGATCATAATAATGCACTTTTTGAAACATGAGCTGAATGAAATGTAAGTGGAGAAAAATAGAAAGGGAATTGAGATCTAATCCTTTTCCACCTTTCCAGTGTGTCACAGTGATTTCAATCCACTTCATAAAAGATGTTAAGCTGTTTTCAAAACTATAAATACAAACCTTCCTTCCACTGTTATGAGCTTTTTCAATAATTTCCTTCACTTCATCTGCATAAGCATTGGCTGGGTCTGCATGGTCTTCTCTGTATTTTCCTCTGTAAGTATCTGGAGCTGGTGCCTGAAAACCAAATGGTAGAGTTTCTTAAGATTCACGTCTTGGACAGATGAGCTATTACAAAAAGGCACTTCCCCACAAGAGCATTTAGAAAGGTGACCATGTGGACTTAAGTGACTCTAGGTTCTTTTGTTCTTTTTCCTTAACATTCCTGAATTCTGTGAAAGCTGAGGTCTTTGTATTGTGAACAGGAGCTTGGATTTGCTCCTAGACCCTTGTAAGTCAAGACTGCATCCCTATTCAAATAAAGAACACATTCAAATCAACAAGTGTGATTGCTGTATTTGAAAATTTCAATGGATGAAAATTTTATTAACTATTCTATATTGAAAATAAACCAACACTTACCGACTATATGGCAAACTGCAATCATCCAAAAACTAGAATGCTTTAGCACTGATGCCAAGTCTTAACATTTTGGAAGAAAGAACTGACAATTCTCTTTTGAAAGTCTACTGATCCTTAATTAAACCAAATGAGTTTTTATGTTTCAACAATGACTTGATTGGTTTCTTTATTTTTTTTTTTACTTTTCATTTTATTTCATAACTCTATATAACAATTTAGCATAGAGCAGTTTAAGACATTCATAGATGTTAGATTTAACTCCAAATTTCAAGCTGGCATCAGTGACAGAAAACTTGAAGACCAAAAGGTGAGGAAAATAAAATGATAGCAATGAATAATAGCTTTCACTACCACTATGCTAATTTGCTTATTGTGATACTCATCAATGGATTTTAAACCATATCCTGTCATTAACTGGCCTTTTGACTTTAGTAAGTCACATAAATGCTCTTGATCTTAGTTTCTTTTTTCATAGCTTCATTTTGATGGAAGGATCAGGCTGGATTGTCTTTAGGCATCTTCCAGTACTAACTTTCTGATTTTTGGATTCTAAGATACTTACCACATGCACAAATTCTTTCTTGACATCTTTGCCCTTTTGGAATTTATATGGGCTGATCTCAATTAAAGATGATAAGTGACCATGGTAAGCACTGCAAAGAAAAAGAACAGTAACTAAAATCAGTCAGAGAAGGAAGTTTTTGTAGTATATGAAAAATAGCATTGTACGTCATCAAGGGAAAATCTCAACCTTAGTGCCAGATAGAACCATACAGGATCTAATTCTTCATGACAAGATTGGCCATTTAATTTGTCCAATTCTCTTTGTTCATGTAATAAAACACATAGGAAACCAAGTATGTATCCTCATAGACATTTTTTTTAAGCAGGCAAAGAAAACTTAATTTCTTAGGATGATATTAGGTGTGCTAAATTAGATTGTCTAAATGCAAAAAATTGTTTTCTATAGCTTCATGAAAAACTTGAAAAGTATGTATCCTTTAAATTTATTTGACAGTTACATTCTAGTAAATTCTAAAAACAACTTTATATCATAGAATGGGCTGTGTTTCTGTCTGGAATGGTTTCTACGGGATGTCTGATTGCATATGCTGGGCAAACACAAGTTGGTAAGAGCAGGAGGTCTCTTCAGGAAGAACTATGATTGAGAGATGGCCAAGTGGCTGTGAGATTCTTTTCTCTTGCTTAAAATATAGGTGGTTATAATATTCCCTTTTCTGTTTCTTGCACAGAGGCATAATTGGGAGATCTGGAAAAGAAATTTTTAAAAAGCCCATGAATAGATAAAACAAAGAGAGAGGAATTCCCTTAGCAAGATTAAAGCATGCTACAAAGCCACAGTAATAAAGTTAGCATGCATCCAAATGAGAACAAACTGGAGACTGGGACAGAAGGCCAAATCAGAGACACACCCACACATAAATGTAACACAGGGGTAGATTTCATACGAGGCAGTAGAAGAAAATGAAGAATATCTTTGTGCTCTGGGGATGTGGGAGGTGTAGGGGGAGAGATATTAACAAAACTTAGAACACATAAACCGTATGATGAAAATTTTATTTATTTGATCTGATCAAAATGAAAGATTTCTGTTGAAAGATACCATGGACAAAGCTAAAAGACACATGATAGTGTGGGAAAAGATTCTGAAATGTTTCAAAGTAAAATGCTCATTCACACTGGTGGTTCTCAACTCTGCCCACATGGTAGAACCACCTGGGAAATTTAAGAATATATAGTGTTTCCTGGAATCCACTTCTGATTTTCTTTAATTGGTCTGGGGTGGGGCCTGGGCATTGGCATTTAGGGAAATTTTTTCCCAGGTAATTTTAAGACACAGTCAAGGTTGAGATCTTTTGATCTAGACTATATCAGCAAACACAAACCAACAAGAAACAGATGGGAATCCCAAAAGAAAAATGGGCAAAGAATATGAACAGGTACTTCTCAGAAGAGAAATCACAAATGCATGTATCTGAAGAGATATTCAAACCCATAATTAGGAAACTGCACATTAAAACAACATTGATACCATTTTAGTTATTGGACTGGCAGAAGTTAGAAAAAAATGAGAAAGCAGGGTACTATAAGGTTTTGGTGAGAATAGGGGAAAATGGGACCTTTCATGCAACCGTTCTGGAGACTAATCTGGCAGTAGTTAGTCAAATTAACAATGTTTCTAGGACCCCTAGGGGCTGGCAATCCTGTTTCTGGGTGTTTATCCCTAAGACCTTCTTAAAAGGTCCATAAGGTCACATGTACAAGGATGCTCAATGAGAGTCACTTCCAGAAGTGAGGAGAAAAGGAGAGTGACAGTAGCCTCCTCTGTGGGGAGGATGAGGCAGGAGTTTGAGCTGCACTGTCCCCTATGGCAGCTACTGCCCACACATGGTAAGTGTAGGACACACATTGGATTTTGGAGATTTAATTAAAAAAAAAAGAAAAATCTCAATATATTTTATATTAACTGTTGAAGTGATATTTTGAATATATTGACTACTAGGAAATTTTAAATGCCCTATGTGGCTCATACTATATTTCTACCAGACAACACTGAATTAAGAGACTAGATGTACATCCAGTAATATAGACTTGAAACAGTGCCAAGGGAAAAAAGTTCAAAACAGAAAGAGATTTATAGCAGTTTTTGTAAAATTAAAACAGATTCACATAATATATATTAATAAAAATACAAAAATAGGGATCCTGGGTGGCTCAGTCAGTTAAAAAAAGTGTCTGCCTTTGGCTCAGGTGATGATCCAAGGGTCCTGGAATCCAGCCCCGCATCAGGCTGCCTGCTTGGCAGGGAGTCTGCTTCTCCCTCTACCCCTCCCCCCCATGCTCTCTCTCAAATAAATAAATGAAATATTTAAAAAAAGGAATACAAAAATAAAAGATGTACATCTGACAGATTAGAACAGTTGTTTGTAGGTGGGGGGGGGGAATGGGAATAAAAGAGAAACAAAAAATGAACTATGGTAGGCAGAACAATGCACCCCCTCTCAAGATGCCCACATTCTAGTCCTAGGAACCTAGGAATGTGTTACATGGCCAAAGGGCCCTCACAGATGTGAGTAAATTCAGAATCTTGAGATGGAGAGGCAATCCTGGAAGGTCCAGTGGAATCACAAGAGTCTTTACAAGCGAAAGGAGGAGGCAGGGGGATGGTGGACAGAGGCAGAGGAGGTGAGGTGAGGCTGGGGGCAGTGGTGGAATGGCTGGCTCTGAAGATGAGAGGAGGGCTCCCGAGCAAGGAAGGCAGGCAGCCTCTAAAAGGTGGGCAAGGCAAGAAAACAGAAGGACCTTCCAGAAGGAGCACACAGTCCTGTTGACACCTTGATTTTGGTCCAGGGAGATCCATTTTGGATTTCTGACCTCCAGAACCATGAGAGAATAAATTCATGTTGCTTAAGTCACTACGTTTGTGGTTAATTTCTCATAGCAGCAATAGAAAATGAACATATGGTCCAACGCATAACACAAGAGAAGCCTATTTAATGGCAAGAAATGAGGTTTGTGTTCAATTTAATCCTCTGTGACTGAGATTGGGGGGTAGAGAGGTAGAAAACAAATGAAAAGAAAATGAATTTATTTTAAATGTAATAAAGTCATGTTAAAGAGATGAGATTAAATAATGGCTGATAATAGTCATTAACTAAGGAGAAAGTACTATCTTTTACTTGGTTTCTTATTTTCTTTAAAATTTGCTCTAAATTGTTATCTTTTAAATTAATTACAGTAGATAATCACAGTAGTGATGTGAACGTATAGAGTCTGAAGAAATCAATTCTATTTTTATTTTGACAGATATTGAGTAATGCATTATAGTGGCTCAATAAACAGTTAATGATTCATGCAAAGCCCGTAAGGCCATGATCACAGCATCCAAGAGAGCCCCCTCCATTTGCAGGAACTTAGAATTAAGTGTCTTGCAGGCCTAAGCTGGCCCTGATACCTTAATACATAATAAAAATAATCATGCCATGTATCCACCCTCCTCCATATATGCTTGTAGTATTACTATGGACAGGATCAGTAAAATTTTGTCTCTTAAAGGAGCTTCTTACTTAGAAGTCTTGCACCTACAACTTACTGGTCAAGAGTGATCACATCTTGGTGGCCTCTGAACTGCCGAGCCAAACGTAACGCTAAGTCATTGGCTTCAGATCTGTTAAGACAACTCAGAGAGAGGGATTATACGTTCTTTTTAAAATATTTCAATACACTCTTTCAAGTATTTCAAAATGTTAATTACAAAAGTTGCAAGATCCCAGTCATTCAGAAATGTACGGGGAATCCTCTCTCTTCCCTTTGGTCTTGCCCACTCGGTGATCTCACTTCATCCTTCCAACACAAGTTTCCCAGGTATCTTCAATAAAGAACGAGACACACAGAAGAAACCCAATTCAAAGGATACACTGCTCATTTCAAACTTCTGCCCAGTTCAGCGACATCGGTAGGTGACTAACGTTGAGAATATTGGGAAGCCCACATTAAGCCTGATCTCAAAGGGAGGAATGGGAGTGGGAGAGCCCATCAACTTGACCACTAAACTATGTTGTGTTTGTACTGACCCAATAGTCGATCAGTTCCTTATCGATAAAATAAAGATCATAATTTTTTTCTACTTGGCTTAGATGGCCTAAATATACTACTCAGACACAGAAAAAGAAAACAATCATTTGTGGGATGTTTACTATCTGCCAGACATCATGCTCAGTGTTTTATTTGCATTTATTCTAGTAACTCCTTTGCAAGGCAAGGGTTGCCATCTCCTTTTTAGGGATAAAAAAACCTCGTCAGAGAGGTGAAGGAGGCAGAGGTTCTCGCAGCTAGTAAGACATAGAGCCAGCATTCAGACTGAAGTCTGTTTAACTTCAAGATTATCCTTTGTACTATCCTAAGTCTGTCACCTCCAGTCTCTGGTGACAGCACTCTTTGACAATAGAGGATTCCTTAGAAATCAAAGTCAATTATTTAATGTACTGAAGGCAAAAATGCTTTAGAACAATAAATTAGATCCTAAAATACCTTAATTCTTTACAACGAAAAAGGGACAATCTTCTGCTTATAAATTTGGTTTAAAATTTCATTGAAGACAAAAGTGAATCACAGTATCATAAAACCGAACATTTACAGAATTTCTAATAGTTTTAATACATTTATACATATACATAATTTTTAAAATATGAGTTTTGCTGTTTGTACAGCTTTCTTCCCAATATAACATCTCATTTTGAGCTTTTCACCTGTCATTAGACATGTAGTTCCAAAAACATATTTTTAATGTCTGCATAATAGTCCACAGAATGTATACATAACTTGGATTTACAGAATTTAAAGGCTGGAACACATCTATTCTTTTGAATTTCCTCTTGCCTTTTTTTGTATTTGTGTTGAGGAAATGTTGAATGCCTAAGAAGCAAGTCAATCAAAAGCCTTACCAAAGTTATGGCTTGTTTAGTAGGATTCTTTTTTTTGCTAAAATCCCTCATTCACGCCATAAAAAAACTATCCAGGCCCACTGACTCTTTAGCTACTTACTCTACCTTCTCAGTAGGTGAGAGTCATTTGACTGGTTAGGTTTTCTCACATGAATGGCAGGCTTGGATATTTTTGCCATCGTTACCACCCAAGGATTTAACCTTTAGGGATACGAAGGCATACCAGGTCTGCTTTCCCCATCTTTCACCAAGGAAGCCTCAGTAATAAAAAAAGTTGAGTGACATGTACATGTTAGTGTCACTGGCTGGGTCAGAAACCCTGGAACTCACTGCTGGGGATCTTATCTACCACAAGCTCATGAAGTAAAGCCAAAGAAACAGAACCATCAGGCCCCATAGGGTTGTCCTTTAGCAAGGGGCAAGAATCTCTGGAAACCTTAGCCGTATATGCTCCACCAGGAATAAAAAAGAAAGGTTATGTGTGAGAGGGTAAAAAACCAGACTGGTGGGAATGGGGGTGGGTGCGAAACCTCAAAACATACCCCGAGTTTGTAAAATAGCAAACGGAGAGTTTCTCCGGCAGGGTCGCTGACAGGCGCCTGGCATACTCAACAATATTGTCATGGAGGAATCGAGAATTTGTATTTAGCGCTTCCATCTGTTCCAGGGCAGCCTTGACCACTTCTGGGTGACAGTGTCCCACTAAAATTTAGAAGACAAAAACCCAAAAAAGGAATTACAATTCTAAGTTCCTGGGAAGTGAGGGGAATTCTGAAGCAAGGGGGAGGAAAAAAAAGAAAAAGAAAAAGAAAAAGAAAAAAAGCTGAGTGGCTTTCCCTGCCACAGTGCGCTGTGACTTTGCCAGGCTAGCACTGCTGGCCCCACCACCGAGGAGCGGCCACCGCACCTGCCGCCCGGGGCAAATCTTAGTGATGCTGCGTCTGCCTCGCTCCACCGCAGGGACAGGACGTTTACCGTGGGCCACGTTGTTGATGCAGTCCAGGTACCGGTCGCCTCGCTCGTCAAACATGTACTGCCGCTGGGCTCGCACTATTTTGACGGGATCCGCAGCAAAGAAGACTTTGCAGGAGGGCCTAGAAATAATGAAAGGAAACACTTCGGTCTGGAAGGACTGCTCCGTGTTTTTCCTTCTCAGTGAAGGTCACGATCAGTGGAAAATTTCAATTACATAAAGGAAAGGGAAAAACACAATCTGGGTGACATACGTTATTTTTTTGAAATTATCATTTCACAATAGCATGGAACCTTCTACTTTAATCCCCCCTTTGTGACATTGCTCACAGTTTATATGTTTGTTATATTAGGTTTGCCACGATTTGACAACTCTGTTTAGAGGTACATGGATCAACTCTGACAGCTCTAATTACACAAATCAATAACCAATTTTTCTTTGGGAAGTTTTATTCTACCAGAAAACAAAACAAAACACAACAAAACAAAAACCAAAAACCTAACTTTTTTTTTTTTGAAGTTTACTATGTGTCAGGAAGCAACAAATATTACAAGTATTTCATTTAATCCTCCCAAATATCAAATGAAGTAGGGGCTATTATTCACATTTTTATAGGTGAGGAAACTGAGGCACAGAAAAATCAAGAAATTTGTTCAAGATTACACAGCTAGTAAGTGAAAAAACAAACAAACAGAATTTGGAAGTAGACTGTCCAAACCACAACCCGAGACAGTGCTTGCTTGCTTTCTCTCTCTCCTCTTCTGATCTAATTAAAGAAATGAATAGCACTGAAAGCTGAGTACAAATAAATTGATAATAAATACTGTAGAAGAGATTTTACAAGAGACTGTTTCAAGTCTTTTCAGTGGTGCTTGTCCTGTATCAAATGGATTTACCATTCTTAAAAAAAGAAACCCAACTATTCTTCTTACCCCTTAATCCATTATTTTGAGCATAATAAAAAGTCATCCATATTCTTGGTTATTTGGATGAATGTCTGGAGTATAAATTTTAGCAACAGAGAAACATCACAAAGTTTTCTGATGTTCACCCTCTGAACATGTAGAAACAAAAATGGAATATGTTATTTTAACTTTGGTGACTTTGCCTGCACAAAGAAAATGGCGCGTGCACTGGAGGTATTTTGAAGGGTAATTAGGTGCTTATATATTAAATTGATATGCAACTTTTTAGAAACTATTTTAATTATTGTGTATAGGTAATCTTAATTTAAAACTGCCTCAGTTTAAGTGTCATCAGTTAAAATGAAACTAATATTCAATGAGAATTTCTTACTGGTTCAATCCCAGCTGTTAGTTTATATACCTGTGAGTTAAAAGCCAAAGAAAACCTTTGAATCATGAATGTGGGCTGCTCACTGCAGACTTCACCTTCCCTTGCTGTGGATACTTTCCACCTCACCACTCAGACTTCAGGTAAAATTCTATCAGGCTGTCCACGGCTCCACTCCTCCCTTCACAGAATTGCTTCGGTTTAGTTTCTCTGAAATCACTGAATTTGCATTGGAATCTAACTACTACATGGGACTGAAAACTAAACAGAACAGACTGCTGATCAGAAAAGAGTAACGGGGGATCCCTGGGTGGCGCAGCGGTTTGGCGCCTGCCTTTGGCCCAGGGCGCGATCCTGGAGACCCGGGATCGAATCCCACGTCGGGCTCCCGGTGCATGGAGCCTGCTTCTCCCTCTGCCTGTGTCTCTGCCTCTCTCTCTCTCTCTCTCTCTCTCTCTCTCTCTCTGTGACTATCATAAAAAAAACAAAAAAGAAAAGAGTAACGGACTGCCTGGCTAATGAGGGAGGAATAGGACCATTTGGGCTTTTCCTATGCGGGGTTGAGAGTTCCAACCAGTCTCCTAAGAGGCATCTAGAAACCTCCCCGGTTGAGACCAGCAGATGAGTAGGAGCAACCGGCCAGCACTTCTCAGAAGGGGACACCAATTCTTCTTTCCTACGTTCCCCAGTCCTGTCTCGAGTGCACCCGGGACAGTGTGGATTCCGTGTGAACACTGCGATCATCCTTCATATTCACACGCGCCTTCTTAAAAACCCGCTCACGCTTATTAGTAATCTCAGCGGCTCGCTCCAGAAAGTAAAGTAACTGGACAGAGGTCGCACAGGTGACGAGACACCGTCCTAGGACCAGGGGCCAGGTCCCACTTCACGGTCAGTCCTGGACGCTTACGAGCACTTCGAGTCCTTTCTAACCGGGCAAAACAGAAGCGGACTGGCGAGAACAGCGCATTTGCAAAGCGCAATGGGGGCGCCGCTAGGGCGAGCAAGGTGGGAGAGCGGCGCTGCGCCCTTCCAGAAAGACGCTGCGGGATCCTGTTTTAGGGCACTGCCTGGATTCGCCCTTGATCTCCTAACCAAGCACGCAGGAAGGAAGGGTCCGCTGGAGGCAGAAGTTGTCAGAATGAGTTCGCTTCACGGCCACGGTGACAAATATTTTGAGCCCATAAATTCTGAGACACGTTCGAGTTGGTGGCCTGTGGCGGGGAGCTCACCCGTCTCCCGTCGCAGCGCCCGTCCCGGGAGTGGAGTTCCCGGGCTGGGGCTCGGGACCCTCGGGGCTCAAGCCCTCCAGCCGCCGGCCGCGCCCCCCCCGCCCCCTCCGCCCCCTCCGCCCCCTCCGCGGGCTGCAGAGCGCGGGCAGCGCGGGGACAGGCGGCGGCCGGGTCCCCCGGGGCGGGCGCGCGCGCGCAGGTGCGGCGGCGGCGGCGGAGACCCCCGGGCGGGCGCGCGCGCAGGTGCGGCGGGAGGGCGGGCGGCGGGGACCTCACCCCGGGACGGGCGCGCGCGCGCAGGTGCGGCGGGAGGACGGGCCACCGCCGCCGTCTCGCGCCCCGCGCCCCCGCGCCCCCGCGCCCCGCGCCCCGCGCCGCGCCCTTGGAGCCCTCACCCGATGTGCTTCCTCCGCAGCGCCAGGGTGTCCTGCTTGCTGTACAGCTCGCACATGGCGGCGCGGCGGCCGGGCGCTCCCCGGGCGCTCCCTGGCGTGCGTGTGCCCCCTCGCGAGCCCGCTCCGCTGGCTGCCGTGATCTCTCGCGGGGTCCCCTTGCCCTGGGCCTCGGAAGTCACTGGCGGCCTCAAGCAGCTGGGGCCATCTCCCTTTTTAAGTCTTGGCTTGCCTTTGCCCTTCGCAAGCCCCACCCTCCCGGTCCCCTCCTCCGCCCGGTGTGGCCTTTGGCGAGTCGCCGAACTGGCCGCTCCTTCGCCACTACCCTTGCCCCCGGCCGCCCTGGCTCCCGGGCCTGCCCTGCCCTTCCCGCTCCGCCGCCCCCGCCCCCGCCCCCCATCCTTGCTACTTATTCCATTTCCCTAACTTGCTCTTGCCTTTGCATCTTTTCCTCTTCTGCCCGCCAATTCTTTCCTCCCCCACCCCCCGCCTTTTTAAAAGATTGTATTTATTTATTCATGAGAGACACACACAGAGAGAGGCAGAGACACAGGTAGAGGGAGAAGCAGGCTCCGTGCACCGGGAGCCCGACGTGGGACTCGATCCCGGGTCTCCAGGATCACGCCCTGGGCCAAAGGCAGACGCTCAACCACTGAGCCACCCGGCTGGCTGCCCTCCTTCCCCCTTTCTTTCTTGTTTATTTTTGGTGTATCCCGTGATGTTCTTGTAAATATTCAGATAGGCGCTCTCTGGAGGTAACCCAGCCCTCGAGTCATCTCCTTTCTCACTCTGAGCCTATGTCAGTACCATAACCTGTAACCCACAGAAGTAACGGGTCACAAGACCTAACGATCTAAGTAACAGGGACTCAGCCTGCTACTTGTTGGAGTGATAACGTATAACGGGGTTTCAAAGATCTACTTTAACGGTAATTACACTCCTAATTTCTCTACTATACAGATTATAAAACATACTTTACCTGGTTCAGTCCTTGAGATGATCAGGAGAGTTATCATGCCATTACCGTATGTCCCATGTGCTGGTGGTGCCCCTAGAATTGACTTCCTTTGGAACGATCTTCGCACACTGATCAAACTAGAAGTTCAGTATCTGGACAGAGTTAACCCTAATTAACTATAACATTAGGTCATGTTATTTTGAGAACTAGACAGCTTCTGATTTAACTCCCCTGTTCCGGAGATAAGAACAGTGAGGCGCAGGAAAGGTGAAGTTTTATTCAAGGTCATGCAACGACTTAGCCATAGAGTTTAACCTAGATCATTTCATTCTTTCTGTTTTGAAAGACAGAAAAGAAAGCTTAATTTACCTATAACAACACACTTGAAAAATGTTTGCTGATGATCTTTCTCCTGAAAGAAGCTATTTAACTTATATTAATACACTGCAGAAGTGGTATTATTGCATTGCCTAAGATAGTTTGAGAAACTGTGTCCTATGAGGAACAGTGTGGTAAGAATGTTAGATATTATAAATGGAGGGCAGAAGGCACTTACGAAACTTGCAAAAAATCCCCAACATGTAATCTTGGTCTAGTTTCGTATATGAAAGATGATGCCAAATGTACATTTATTCTCAAAACCTTTAGACCTGGTGAAGTCACAGATAGTCAAGCTTTTTCTATAAACCTCTGTAGTTTCCTGTTATTCCCAATGCTTTAAAATATGTTCTGTAAGTAATACTGGACCAAGAGTCTTGGGCGTAATCTGTTTCTTACATAAAGTAGTTGAGCTTCTTGACCTTTTGGAGGCCAGATTTCTTTGTACTTAAAATAAAAAAAAAAATCTCTCTTTGACTCAGCATTATAAGGAGAGCTTAAAAGAGGGGATGATTGTAGAATGTGTGGCAGGATCATTGTTACGATCTTGATGATCCTACCCTTTTTTTGGTTTGTTTTGGTTGTTGTTTTTTAAATTCCTGACCTCTCAGCAGTAGACCATTCCTTTGTCCTTGAAGCCCTTACTCTTTTGACTTCTTGGCACCATCACACTTCCCTGATTTCCTTCTGTCACTTAACATTGAAATGTTGGTATCTCTAAAGGTAAAAGTCTTGGGCTCTTTCTGTTCTCTATGCTCTTTCCAAAGGTAATCCACAATGATTCCTTTGGATTTAGGACCCATCAAGGTGCTTAATTTACATCTCCACCCAGATCTTTGTTTTTAGTCCAGACTGTGATATCTACTTCCTTTCTTAACTTCTCTACTTAGAGGCCTCCATATATACCTCAGACTGAATCAGTCTAAAATGGAAGCTTTGATCCGCACCCCCAAAACGTTTGCCTCCAAGAGGGTCCCCCAAACCAGGCAATCAGTGGTTCATCCAAAATATATCAAATGCTCACTGTGTGCCATTGAATGTTTCAGTTGCAGATAGCAGCGAACAAGACTGAATGGACACACCCTTGGTGGCTCATACTAGATGTGCACTGTCGAACACATAGCCACTAGCCACAGGTGATTTTTAGGAACTTAAAATGTGGTAGTCTGAATTGAGATGTGCTCTCAGTGTAAAATACACACTGTCTTTTGATGATTTAATACAAAAACAAATCTGCAAAACTTCTTGTAAGTGTTATATTGGTTATTTGTTGAAAAAATATTCTAGGCGTATTCTAGATATATTGAATTAAGCAAAATAAATCATTAAAATTAATTTCACCTCTTTTTTAATGTGGCTACTAGCAAATTTAAAATTACATATGTGATTTACCTTACTTTTCTATTGGACAGGATTATTCTAGATGGACAGAATAAACACATAAATATATTAACAAGATAATGGCTTCAGTTGCTTTAATTGTGGTGCTTTGAAGGAAATAAACTAAGAGAAATGATCCTAAGCCAGAAACCTAGGAGTCCTGGGTAATTCCTCTCTTTTCCTCAAGCCCATCCCCATGTCAAATTATTTCTAAGCTCTATTGACTCCACTTCAAAATACATGTTAAATCTCTCTGTTACCACCCTATCTACTACCACCGTATGGAAGCCTTCTGCATCTCCTCCAGAATCTATACAGAAGCATTTCCTTGCTTCCTCTTCCCACCCTGCGTGCACAATCCTGTCCCCTTCTTAAAACCCAGGAGTGACTCAAGAGTCCGATACTAGAACTTCGTGATGCTCTAAGATGCAGACAAGGATCTAGGATATGGCTTCAGTTTATTTCTACTGAGTTCATTTCTAATGATGAAGGAGTCCAGAATATGCCACTGTGGCATAAAAATTATTTTGAGCTGTAGGCATTTGAGAGTCAGGAAGGGGCTTTCTTCCTTAACTCCCTTTATCTGCTCTGACAGCAGAGCATCCACTCCCCCAGCCCTGCAAGAATTCAGCTGTCATAAATCCTGTTTTCTTCCTCACAACCAGGGAAGGTTGGTTCTTACTATCTGGATACAAGATCACCTGAACATACATAGTCACAGAACTACCAAACGTGACATCTATTCTAAGGGCCCATTTAGCTTTCCTAAATGTCATTTGTTTTGTCATAAGTACTCTTTCTTCTTTTCCCTTTCCTCCATTAAGATGGTATATGAGCTCTGGGGCACCTGGGTGGTGCAGTTGGTTAAGTGACCAACTCTTGATTTTAGCTCAGGTTGTGATCTCAGGGTCATGAGATCAAGCTCTGTGCTCAGCCGAGAGTCTGCTTAAGACTCTCTCTCCCTCTCCCTCTGCCCCTCAACCCTCTCTCTCTCAAATAAATAAATAAATAAAATATAAATAAATAAATAAATAAAGTTTATTTATTTATTTATATTTTATTTATTTATTTATTCATGAGAGACACACACAGCGAGAGTCAAAGACATAGGCAGAGAGAGCAGCAGGCTCCCTGTGGGGAGCCTGATGTGGAACTCGATCCCAGGGCCCTGGGATCATGACCTGAGCCAAAGGCAGATGCTCAACCACTGAGCCAGCCACATGCCCTTAAATGAATCTTACTTCAAGAAAAGATGGTATATTAGCTCCAGATTCTAACCACCCTGTGGAGTCACATTTTTCTGTGTGCTTCCCCATAAGCGAATACAAATTTGTCTTGAGTGAATTGATAGAGAGGCTAATTGGATAGACTGCAAACAGGTTCCTTCTTACTCCAACTGGATGCTATGCAACCATGCCAGTTCTGAACAGAATTTTCCAAGGACATAATCCATGTGAGGTCTTGATATTTTTCCTCCCAGAAGCTGGCAGAGGTAAGGGGCGAGTAACAAAGTCCCAAGTTCAACTACTTCTGGGCTGGGGAGGTGCTTTGCTCTGAAGGAAGCTTACAGAATGTAGAATTAAACAAGTGTTCCATTCCATTGCTCTCCATTCTAGCTGTCCCTGGAAGTTTCTGCAGTTACATAGTACCTAGCTTCTCACCTCTCTTGGCAGCTGTATATATATCAGAGGTCAAAACACTCATGTTTCAAGGAACATATTTTAAAAAACACCAATATAGATAGTCTGAATGTTGAAAATACTATAGCAAAATATTGTAAGAGAGAGGAAGAGGGGGTGCTGGAGGACACAGGGCTTACACAGGCCTTGCTTAGGAGCATGGACTGTATCCCTGAGGAGAGTGGGAGATCGTGAAGAACTACTTGCAGGGGAGGGGGATGATCCTGCTGTCACATTAAAAGTGTCACTCTGGCTGTGCCACTATGTGTCACCCCGTGCTTAATTTAGTTCTAAGTAGCTCAAGTATCACGTGAACGAAGAGTAACTAAGAGTTTACACCTTAGTGGATCCTCCACTGGTTAGGGTCATAAAAAGCACAGTCTCTGGAAGGTACATTTCTCAGGTATTCTGTAGGGTAGCACCGGGCATACTTGCTTAATAAGAAGAATCACTGAGGAAACTTGTTTAGAGTACAGATTCGCAGGCATCCGCCAACACCCACCGAAATGAGATCTCCAGAATGGGAGCCTGGGAAGCTGGATTTTTAACAAACTTCGTAGGTTCCTACCATCAAGCAAATTTGAGAAACATGGTCATAGGAGGTGGGCTGGAGCCACAGGGCCATTTTAGGAGATGTCTGTTATTCCTGGGCTAAGATGTCCCTGCCTCTTGGTGGAGTGATACCAGCAGCCTCCTGGTTACTGTGGTAGTCCCCTACCTGGGTCCCCTCTGGTGCCCCATCCTCCAAGCAGCCTCACTGCCCGTGAAAGCTGGGTTTTCCCACTCTCCTACAAATA